GCTGGGCTCCAGGGCAGGGTGAGAGTTGTCCCAGCTCTCCTGAGATGGTGGCCTGCTTTCCTGCGTTCCTCGGGCACCAAAGAGTTCCTCTGCCCGCACCGGCAGCTCCCCTAGGCGGGCTTTGTCTTCTTCGGCCGGGAGGAAAGAGGGTTTGCGGGCAGCTTAAAACTCTGGGCCCTGGGGTAGGGGCTGGGGGTTCTGTCCGTAGTCTTTGGCTCATTGACAGAACTGGTGGGTGTCCCACCCTTGACACCCACCACATTTGGGGTTTGCTTCCTCACCTGTTGGGGATCCTCCCATGAACAATTGCGCATCTCCAAGGCCTGGAGCAAGAATTCACAGGCTTTGCAGGCACCTTCCATGAGACTGATAGGCAAGGATTTCTGCATCTGAGAACTCTAAGGCTCTGGGGACCCAGCACATCTGAAGAAAGCCTCACATGCTGCTAGTGTTTCTCTGGCACAGATGGCAATTAATTGCTTTCATCTCCCACCTTTGTCCTCATATTATAAGACTGCACTTTCTTAAAAAAATGGGTGTTGTGCTGCATCAGCAGTTGTTCCCAAATGTTATAGAAAGGTGACACCAGGTTGGGACCTTCCAAGTGAGGCTGAGGATGGGAAGCACGTTTGCCACATCTCCTCTAGGTAGATAATAGTCAGCAAGACGTGTGTAAGCTGGCGAATGAGGCATGAACACCCTGCGTCCCTTGCCATTAACCCTCACCCAGGCTCTCCCACCAGCCGGGCCCCAGCGCCCTGCTTGGCGGCTCCGCCTGCCTGGACAAATGCCCAGTGTGCTCTACACGGGGGTGCTCCCTCCTCTCCATGCCCTGTTCCAGTGACCTGGATGGGTGGTGGGAGGTGCCAGGGGAGCAGTTAAACCAGCTCCTCTCCGGAGAGGCAGTGTCACCCCCACCCCACATCTCTCCAGAGTGGAGCCGAGGTGAGTGAGTGATCCGGGGGGGACCATGGGCAAGCTGAGGTTTGAATGAAATTGAGTTCCCAGCACCCAGCTTGGAGGGGCGCCTGGCCTGCCCCCAGGGAGCATGTTGGTAGGGTGGCTGGGAGAGAAGCAGCCCCCGGAGGGCCCACGAGGCATCTGTGGGGGCATCTGCTCACCACACCTTTCTGCTCCCCGCACCCACTCCCACTGGCCGTCTCCCCCCCCTCTGCTGTACCTGAGGTCCTTCTTTCTGCCTTCCCCGAGGCTCTGCCCCTTCGGGCCCCCTGTCCTGTCCTCTCAGCCTCTGCTCCACTCTGCACCCCTCTTGTGCCCTGACCCCTGGCCTCTCCCTCTGTTCCTCTCCCTCCGTTTATCTGCCTCTGTGGGTGACCCTTCAGAGGACTTCTGTATCTCAGCCCTGTCCGTGGCATGTGGTGCTGACGGGGCTCCTGTGTACTCTAGCACCCCCTGAAGGAAGGCCTGAGGGGTGTGGCCCCCTCACCCCCTGAGGCATCAAGGTCCCTGTCCCTGAGGGTGTTCAGCCTGGAGGCTGCTTCACCTTGAGGTTTGTGAACTCAGCCAGACTGCTGTGAGCCCCGAGGGCTCCCCATGGTGGTAGTGGCGTCCCTCCAAGTGCCCTGTCCTGTTGGCTTAGAGCTTTTGCTCTTGAAACAGGCCACCCTGCTCAGATTACCCTGTGAGGAAGCTGCCTGCCTCCCTGACGAGATAAGGCCTGCTCTGGGGGAAAGGGTCCCCGGATGGTGCCCGACCGGCCGTCTCCCGCTCGCTCTTCTCCCAGATGGAGACCTCACAGACACCGTCAGCGGCCCTCGCTCCACGGCCTCGGACCCGACCAGCAGCAAGGCCTCCACCAAGAGTCCCTCCCAGCGCCACAACCCCTTCAGTGAGGACCAGGCAGAGGCCGTGTCCTCCCCCGACACCACCCCTGTGCACACCACCTCTCAGGAGAAGGGGGAGTCCCACATCCACGACCTGCTGGATCCCTGCACAGAGCTGGAAGTCATCAGGTCAGCAGGGCAGGGCCCCCAGAGAAGGTGGGTGAGCACCCCAGTGTCCATCTTGTCTACTGTAGCATCGCTTTTTAGTTCACGCACACTGGGACCCACCTGAGGGCAATGGGGTGTCTTCCTAGAGACTGAGCACCACGCCCTGGCCCCACAGTTCTTCAAGCAAGAGGAAAGAAGAGGGCCTGAGCTTGGGAGGCAGGGGGCACAGGCAACAACCATGGCTTCCGGGGTTGCCCAGGCCAGGGCATTTGTCAGGGGCCCCTCAGCCAGAGAGCACCTTCAGACCGGACTCCTTTCCCAGGGAGTTCTTGGACATTAACGCACAATTTCTGAGATACATACTAATTTTAGTTAAGCGTGGCTCATTGAAAGAGAAGTAGCTTTTGTCATTGACAGGGACATAGAACAGAAGGAGTGGGTGGATGACAAGTTGGGAAACCCTTGGCCCAGAGCCTCTTGGGCTCCCTGACCTGCCCCGGCTCCCGCTCTCGAGACTCTCAGCACTGAATAAGGTGTGCATGTCAGACTTCCCCGAGGTGGGGGATCTGCTCCGCAGGGACTGGAGCCAGGGGTCCCACTCTCACAGGCTGGTTCGAGTCCTGAGCAGCTCGAACAGTTGAGCCCTGGGTTGCTTAGCCGGGCCCACTCCAGCCAACTTGGAGCCAAGGAGTTTGAGCCCAAAAGACTTTGATTACATGCCTAGTTGAGTTAGCCGTGGTGCTAAGTAACAGGAAGTGAGGTCAGCTCAGGGTCCAGTGCCCACATGCCAAGAGGAGGGCTGAGTAGGAGGGCCACTGGTCTGAATAACCATGGCATGTTTTTGTTCCCTGGAGCACAGCTAGCTCAGTTGTGCCATGAGCTAGAGTTTGCAGGACCTGCCCAGGGATTCCCCTGGCTACCGCCATCTGTGCCTCCCTGCTGCTGGTCCCTGCTTCTGCCAACAACAGGGATACCTCAGGGCCCGAGCTGCACGGCCCCCTGGCCCAGGGCCCCCACTGTGTACTGCCCAGGACCACTGAAGCTCTCTGGCTGTGCCCTCAGGTTGCATGTCCTGAATCACCACTGACTCAGCCCATCTGATTTCCCTCAGTAGCGTGGTGCTCAGATATTAAATCTCTCCCCATCACTACTGTCCCAGGGTCACCAAGAAGAAGAAGATGGGCAAGAAGAAGAAGACCAGGTCAGATGAAGAAGCAAGCCCACCTCACCCAGCCTCTACCCAGCACCGCTGTGCCAAGCACGGGTGTGGAGACAGCCTCGTCAGCAGCCCAGGCCTTGGGCGGGGCTCGCCAGACGCTGCCTTGGCCTCCCCCCAGGAGGAGGGAGAGGGGCCCAGCAGCACAGCGGAGAGCGGCGAGCCCTCAGAGCCCGGCCAGGTGGGCCTGCTTATCCCCGAGATGAAGGACACCTCCATGGAGCGCGTGGGGCAGCCCCTGAGTAAGGTCATTGACCAGCTCCATGGGCAGCTGGACCCCAGCACCTGGGGCTCCTGTGTCGAGTCCCCAGACCAGTCCTTTCGGACCGGCTCTTCCGGGGATGCCCCGGAGAGGCCGCCGTTTTGTGACTTCAGCGAGGGGCTTCCAGCCCCAATGGACTTCTACCGCTTTACCGTCGAGAGTCCAAGCGCTGGTGCATCAGGTGGCAGCCACCATGACCTTGCAGGGCCTGGCCCACCGCTGCATGTTCCTGGTAGCTCTGAGACTGCTGGCCAAGAAGAGGAGAGAGGAGGGGAGGCTTCGGCGCCTGGGCCCCTAGAGGACACTCCAGGGGAGGCTCTGGAGCCAGAGACCCGGGAGCTGGTGCCCCAGTTGTCCCTGGCTGGTGAGGGGCCTGCACCTGAGCCAGAGCCCAGGACCCAGGAGGCTCTTTGCCGGCTCAAGCAAGACCAGACCAGCCCTTGTCTGAGCAGCGCCGGGGACTCCGGGGTGGATGAGGGGCAGGGGAGCCCTTCTGAGATGACCCACTCAGCAGAGTTCAGGTGAGCAAGGCTGTGTGTGCAGCTGGCGTGCAAGACACTCCCAGTCCTTGAAGCAGGGATGCTGGGTGTCTGTCCCCCGAATAAGCACAACTCCCAGAAGGCCCAGCCCGGGCTGGGAGGTAGGAAGGGGTGCCATCCTCCCCTCCCGCACGTGGGCTCCAGGTTGGGGGCAGAGCCATCACACTTATGCTGCCTCTCTGTGCTTGTGCCGCCTCTGCCACCCTCCCCAGCCTGACGCCTTGCCGCCCGCGCTTGTCCCCCTCACAGAGTGGACAACAATCACTTACTCCTGCTGATGATCCACGTGTTCCGAGAGAACGAAGAGCAGCTTTTCAAAGTGAGTCCCAGGAACTGGAGAATGAGCAGGAGCTCACGCAGCCAGGGCGAGGCGGGGCGGGCCACCCGCCCGGTCGGAAGGGAGAGCGTGCTCCCAGTGTGGGCGCCTGACCTCCTGCTGTTTGGGCCTCTCAGATGATCCGGATGAGCACCGGGCACATGGAGGGTAACCTGCAACTGCTCTACGTGCTGCTCACAGACTGCTATGTCTACCTGCTCCGGAAAGGTGCCTGCCGCCCCCGGCTGGGCCAGAGCAGCTGCTCAGAGGTTGAGGATGAGACTGCCACCTCCCTTTCCCTCTCCCCGACCCCGTCTCTCAGCTGCCTGACATGTGGTGATGAAAACGCACTCCACAGAAGGTGTCACTAGCAGTCCCAGCAAGCCCAAGACAGGAGCCTGGGGCCTCCCCTCCCCAAGCACCCCCATGTCGTTTTCCTACTCCATCATTTCAGATCGTAGGGCAAGAATTGGCCCTCTCTGAGACAGGGGGGTCTTAGGAAATGGGACAGGGGAGGGAAAAGAGGCCACTGGGGGTAATAGGCATTGGTGTCTCCTCTCAGGAGCTGCAGAGAAGCCATACCTGGTGGAAGAGGCCGTTTCTTACAATGAACTTGACTACGTGTCGGTGAGTCCAGGCTCTGCCCTTGGTGTATGTTACAGGGNGGTAGGGGGCCCAGCCTCTGAAAGGGGAGGTGCTGACCCCTCATCCTGAGCGAGAGGGGCAGGTGGCTCTCCCCACTGCTCCAGAGCTGGCCCCTTGTCAGCGCCATGCTCTCTGAGCAGTGGGGGACAGGTGACCTTTTCCTAAGTAATGTGGGTATGAAATAGCTTAGTTCGTGGGAAACAAAATACAGCAGTGGGAGAAATAAATTATGTCATCTGGCCATGAGAGTGGCATTGAAGAGTCCCAGGTCTTAGGACCATCTAAAAGTCTAGAATTCCATCATAACATCATTTATCCTCTCAGCCTCTCCTTGTGGTGCACATGCTGGGCACTGGTTTTTTTCCACCCCTGATTCTAACAACTAACCCCCTTCCTCACCCAGCGCTTGCTGCCTGCTGCAGTCACTGGACCAGCAGGGCCTGACCTTCCTCTGCAGCCCCTCAGAGCTCCGGCGGCCTGAGCACTAACAGCCCAGTCGCACCGCTTGCTCGGGCCAGGCTGGGCTCCAGGGCAGGGTGAGAGTTGTCCCAGCTCTCCTGAGATGGTGGCCTGCTTTCCTGCGTTCCTCGGGCACCAAAGAGTTCCTCTGCCCGCACCGGCAGCTCCCCTAGGCGGGCTTTGTCTTCTTCGGCCGGGAGGAAAGAGGGTTTGCGGGCAGCTTAAAACTCTGGGCCCTGGGGTAGGGGCTGGGGGTTCTGTCCGTAGTCTTTGGCTCATTGACAGAACTGGTGGGTGTCCCACCCTTGACACCCACCACATTTGGGGTTTGCTTCCTCACCTGTTGGGGATCCTCCCATGAACAATTGCGCATCTCCAAGGCCTGGAGCAAGAATTCACAGGCTTTGCAGGCACCTTCCATGAGACTGATAGGCAAGGATTTCTGCATCTGAGAACTCTAAGGCTCTGGGGACCCAGCACATCTGAAGAAAGCCTCACATGCTGCTAGTGTTTCTCTGGCACAGATGGCAATTAATTGCTTTCATCTCCCACCTTTGTCCTCATATTATAAGACTGCACTTTCTTAAAAAAATGGGTGTTGTGCTGCATCAGCAGTTGTTCCCAAATGTTATAGAAAGGTGACACCAGGTTGGGACCTTCCAAGTGAGGCTGAGGATGGGAAGCACGTTTGCCACATCTCCTCTAGGTAGATAATAGTCAGCAAGACGTGTGTAAGCTGGCGAATGAGGCATGAACACCCTGCGTCCCTTGCCATTAACCCTCACCCAGGCTCTCCCACCAGCCGGGCCCCAGCGCCCTGCTTGGCGGCTCCGCCTGCCTGGACAAATGCCCAGTGTGCTCTACACGGGGGTGCTCCCTCCTCTCCATGCCCTGTTCCAGTGACCTGGATGGGTGGTGGGAGGTGCCAGGGGAGCAGTTAAACCAGCTCCTCTCCGGAGAGGCAGTGTCACCCCCACCCCACATCTCTCCAGAGTGGAGCCGAGGTGAGTGAGTGATCCGGGGGGGACCATGGGCAAGCTGAGGTTTGAATGAAATTGAGTTCCCAGCACCCAGCTTGGAGGGGCGCCTGGCCTGCCCCCAGGGAGCATGTTGGTAGGGTGGCTGGGAGAGAAGCAGCCCCCGGAGGGCCCACGAGGCATCTGTGGGGGCATCTGCTCACCACACCTTTCTGCTCCCCGCACCCACTCCCACTGGCCGTCTCCCCCCCCTCTGCTGTACCTGAGGTCCTTCTTTCTGCCTTCCCCGAGGCTCTGCCCCTTCGGGCCCCCTGTCCTGTCCTCTCAGCCTCTGCTCCACTCTGCACCCCTCTTGTGCCCTGACCCCTGGCCTCTCCCTCTGTTCCTCTCCCTCCGTTTATCTGCCTCTGTGGGTGACCCTTCAGAGGACTTCTGTATCTCAGCCCTGTCCGTGGCATGTGGTGCTGACGGGGCTCCTGTGTACTCTAGCACCCCCTGAAGGAAGGCCTGAGGGGTGTGGCCCCCTCACCCCCTGAGGCATCAAGGTCCCTGTCCCTGAGGGTGTTCAGCCTGGAGGCTGCTTCACCTTGAGGTTTGTGAACTCAGCCAGACTGCTGTGAGCCCCGAGGGCTCCCCATGGTGGTAGTGGCGTCCCTCCAAGTGCCCTGTCCTGTTGGCTTAGAGCTTTTGCTCTTGAAACAGGCCACCCTGCTCAGATTACCCTGTGAGGAAGCTGCCTGCCTCCCTGACGAGATAAGGCCTGCTCTGGGGGAAAGGGTCCCCGGATGGTGCCCGACCGGCCGTCTCCCGCTCGCTCTTCTCCCAGATGGAGACCTCACAGACACCGTCAGCGGCCCTCGCTCCACGGCCTCAGACCCGACCAGCAGCAAGGCCTCCACCAAGAGTCCCTCCCAGCGCCACAACCCCTTCAGTGAGGACCAGGCAGAGGCCGTGTCCTCCCCCGACACCACCCCTGTGCACACCACCTCTCAGGAGAAGGGGGAGTCCCACATCCACGACCTGCTGGATCCCTGCACAGAGCTGGAAGTCATCAGGTCAGCAGGGCAGGGCCCCCAGAGAAGGTGGGTGAGCACCCCAGTGTCCATCTTGTCTACTGTAGCATCGCTTTTTAGTTCACGCACACTGGGACCCACCTGAGGGCAATGGGGTGTCTTCCTAGAGACTGAGCACCACGCCCTGGCCCCACAGTTCTTCAAGCAAGAGGAAAGAAGAGGGCCTGAGCTTGGGAGGCAGGGGGCACAGGCAACAACCATGGCTTCCGGGGTTGCCCAGGCCAGGGCATTTGTCAGGGGCCCCTCAGCCAGAGAGCACCTTCAGACCGGACTCCTTTCCCAGGGAGTTCTTGGACATTAACGCACAATTTCTGAGATACATACTAATTTTAGTTAAGCGTGGCTCATTGAAAGAGAAGTAGCTTTTGTCATTGACAGGGACATAGAACAGAAGGAGTGGGTGGATGACAAGTTGGGAAACCCTTGGCCCAGAGCCTCTTGGGCTCCCTGACCTGCCCCGGCTCCCGCTCTCGAGACTCTCAGCACTGAATAAGGTGTGCATGTCAGACTTCCCCGAGGTGGGGGATCTGCTCCGCAGGGACTGGAGCCAGGGGTCCCACTCTCACAGGCTGGTTCGAGTCCTGAGCAGCTCGAACAGTTGAGCCCTGGGTTGCTTAGCCGGGCCCACTCCAGCCAACTTGGAGCCAAGGAGTTTGAGCCCAAAAGACTTTGATTACATGCCTAGTTGAGTTAGCCGTGGTGCTAAGTAACAGGAAGTGAGGTCAGCTCAGGGTCCAGTGCCCACATGCCAAGAGGAGGGCTGAGTAGGAGGGCCACTGGTCTGAATAACCATGGCATGTTTTTGTTCCCTGGAGCACAGCTAGCTCAGTTGTGCCATGAGCTAGAGTTTGCAGGACCTGCCCAGGGATTCCCCTGGCTACCGCCATCTGTGCCTCCCTGCTGCTGGTCCCTGCTTCTGCCAACAACAGGGATACCTCAGGGCCCGAGCTGCACGGCCCCCTGGCCCAGGGCCCCCACTGTGTACTGCCCAGGACCACTGAAGCTCTCTGGCTGTGCCCTCAGGTTGCATGTCCTGAATCACCACTGACTCAGCCCATCTGATTTCCCTCAGTAGCGTGGTGCTCAGATATTAAATCTCTCCCCATCACTACTGTCCCAGGGTCACCAAGAAGAAGAAGATGGGCAAGAAGAAGAAGACCAGGTCAGATGAAGAAGCAAGCCCACCTCACCCAGCCTCTACCCAGCACCGCTGTGCCAAGCACGGGTGTGGAGACAGCCTCGTCAGCAGCCCAGGCCTTGGGCGGGGCTCGCCAGACGCTGCCTTGGCCTCCCCCCAGGAGGAGGGAGAGGGGCCCAGCAGCACAGCGGAGAGCGGCGAGCCCTCAGAGCCCGGCCAGGTGGGCCTGCTTATCCCCGAGATGAAGGACACCTCCATGGAGCGCGTGGGGCAGCCCCTGAGTAAGGTCATTGACCAGCTCCATGGGCAGCTGGACCCCAGCACCTGGGGCTCCTGTGTCGAGTCCCCAGACCAGTCCTTTCGGACCGGCTCTTCCGGGGATGCCCCGGAGAGGCCGCCGTTTTGTGACTTCAGCGAGGGGCTTCCAGCCCCAATGGACTTCTACCGCTTTACCGTCGAGAGTCCAAGCGCTGGTGCATCAGGTGGCAGCCACCATGACCTTGCAGGGCCTGGCCCACCGCTGCATGTTCCTGGTAGCTCTGAGACTGCTGGCCAAGAAGAGGAGAGAGGAGGGGAGGCTTCGGCGCCTGGGCCCCTAGAGGACACTCCAGGGGAGGCTCTGGAGCCAGAGACCCGGGAGCTGGTGCCCCAGTTGTCCCTGGCTGGTGAGGGGCCTGCACCTGAGCCAGAGCCCAGGACCCAGGAGGCTCTTTGCCGGCTCAAGCAAGACCAGACCAGCCCTTGTCTGAGCAGCGCCGGGGACTCCGGGGTGGATGAGGGGCAGGGGAGCCCTTCTGAGATGACCCACTCAGCAGAGTTCAGGTGAGCAAGGCTGTGTGTGCAGCTGGCGTGCAAGACACTCCCAGTCCTTGAAGCAGGGATGCTGGGTGTCTGTCCCCCGAATAAGCACAACTCCCAGAAGGCCCAGCCCGGGCTGGGAGGTAGGAAGGGGTGCCATCCTCCCCTCCCGCACGTGGGCTCCAGGTTGGGGGCAGAGCCATCACACTTATGCTGCCTCTCTGTGCTTGTGCCGCCTCTGCCACCCTCCCCAGCCTGACGCCTTGCCGCCCGCGCTTGTCCCCCTCACAGAGTGGACAACAATCACTTACTCCTGCTGATGATCCACGTGTTCCGAGAGAACGAAGAGCAGCTTTTCAAAGTGAGTCCCAGGAACTGGAGAATGAGCAGGAGCTCACGCAGCCAGGGCGAGGCGGGGCGGGCCACCCGCCCGGTCGGAAGGGAGAGCGTGCTCCCAGTGTGGGCGCCTGACCTCCTGCTGTTTGGGCCTCTCAGATGATCCGGATGAGCACCGGGCACATGGAGGGTAACCTGCAACTGCTCTACGTGCTGCTCACAGACTGCTATGTCTACCTGCTCCGGAAAGGTGCCTGCCGCCCCCGGCTGGGCCAGAGCAGCTGCTCAGAGGTTGAGGATGAGACTGCCACCTCCCTTTCCCTCTCCCCGACCCCGTCTCTCAGCTGCCTGACATGTGGTGATGAAAACGCACTCCACAGAAGGTGTCACTAGCAGTCCCAGCAAGCCCAAGACAGGAGCCTGGGGCCTCCCCTCCCCAAGCACCCCCATGTCGTTTTCCTACTCCATCATTTCAGATCGTAGGGCAAGAATTGGCCCTCTCTGAGACAGGGGGGTCTTAGGAAATGGGACAGGGGAGGGAAAAGAGGCCACTGGGGGTAATAGGCATTGGTGTCTCCTCTCAGGAGCTGCAGAGAAGCCATACCTGGTGGAAGAGGCCGTTTCTTACAATGAACTTGACTACGTGTCGGTGAGTCCAGGCTCTGCCCTTGGTGTATGTTACAGGGCAGGGCAGCCTGCTCTCAAAGCCACAGAGCAGCCCCTGGGGTGGGCCAGCTCGTCTCTCAGAGCATCTCCTGTGCCTGAAGCTGGGGGTAACAACCAAGCTTGAAGAGGCCTCTTTGTCAGCTATGCTTCTGAACATCCCTCCCCAGCCCTTGCCAGGGTCCCAGGCCTCTGGCTTTTACCTCGTGGCAACTCCAGGATGTGCTTCCTCCCTCCCCAGCCAACCCTCGGTCTGGCCATGGCTGCCTCTTCTGCCAGGCAGCAGCCAAGCCCCATGTACATGTGAAGGTGTGGTTTCTGGCAGGTGGGCCTCGACCAGCAGACAGTGAAGCTAGTGTGCGCCAACCGCAGGAAGCAGTTTCTGCTGGACACAGCTGACATGGCCCTGGCTGAGTGAGTGCCCCCCATGCCCAGGCCTGGAGAGCAACATCTGCCACTGGTGTGACCAAGTCCTGGACTCCCTGCCCTCAGGATAGAGGTATAGGAGGTCGGATACAAAGTAGTGGAAGACAGGAGGTGTGTTCCCTTTGGTACCTGCAGGGATGTGAACAAGCACTGGCTGACTGACTTGTGCGGTCACCCCCATACCACAGACAGGAAGAGGACTGGCATTTGTCACCCAATCACAAAGAAAGCACAAGCCCAGCAGCTGGGCAGTGGAGCTGTGACATGTCCCCCCAACCCCCACCCCACTGCCTATGAAAAGTATATATAATGAAATCATACCCTGTACTGACTCCAGGTTCTATCCATTCAAATTCAGCTGTATCACCTTGTCCAATCTTCCCTCCCTGTCAAAACCCAAGTCCCCTTGGCCATTGAGAATGATTAGGCCTTTTCCAGGTCACTGATGACTGCGGACTGCTGCTGGAGCCATTGCCCTGTTAGCCACCCTGAGCTCTGGTTCCAGCCAAGCCCCTCCCCCAAGTTTTTGTGACCCCTCCAGGCCAGCAGCCCATCCAGCTGAGGGGTAGGGACCCCCCAGGCACCTGACAGCAAACCCCACTCCCTGTGCAGGTTCTTCTTGGTTTCTCTGAAGTCTGCCATGATCAAAGGCTGTCGGGAGCCACCCTACCCCAGCGTCCTGACCGACGCCACCATGGAGAAGCTGGCTCTGGCCAAATTTGTGGCCCAGGAATCCAAGTGTGAAGTAAGAACTTGGGGAGGCAGGGGTGGTATCGTCCCTGAGATGTCAGCCCTGGAATTAGGGTCAAGGGTTGCAAATAGACGCTTTTCGCACTTCTCTCCCCATACTCCGTGGTCCTGTCCCCCTCCCCACGTGTGGTGTGTCACTGCTGTCTCAGTGGCCGCTCCTGGTGCTGAGCCATGTGAGCCCGGTAGGGACCTCACTACTCTGTCTACTGCCCCCCACCCAGGTGACCGCTGTTACTGTGTGCTTCTATGGGCTTGTGCACTGGGAAGACCCTCTGGATGAATCCCTGGGCCCCGTCCCCTGCCACTGCTCACCCCACGAGAATGCCATCACCAAAGAAGGCATGCTGCAGTACAAGGCGGGGACCTCCTACCTGGGCAAGGAGCACTGGAAGGCCTGCTTCGTGGTGCTCAGGTAGGAGCCCCTGCAGAGCTGGCCTCATGCTTGGTACACAGGTATTTGGGCTGTCAGCTCCCAGCAGGGATCTCTCTGGGGCAGCTCACTGAGGAGAGAGCCCGAGCAGGGGGCCTCCCTCCTCCCCAAGGGCTTTGGAGTAGATACACCCCAGGATAATAGAGCATCTGTGTAAAGACAACCATCTTTGGGGCCCAGGGAATCCTGGAAGGCCTCAGGTACAGAGCTGGGCTGGGGCTGCACGGCCTTTAGCTGACCCCAGGTCCGTGGAGGGAACCATGGTCTCTGCTGTGCCTCTGCGGTGCTTTCTCCATCCTCCCATCCAAAGAAGATAGGCCCCTGGCCTCCTTGGCCTCTGGGGTTCCAGGCCCAGCTTGTGGGCGGTCTCTGGGATATGGGCCCCACCTGGCCCCCAGTTCCTAGGATGGGCCTCACCCGCGCTGTGTTGTGCCCCTGCAGCAATGGGATCCTCTACCAGTATCCTGACCGCACTGATGTCACCCCTTTGCTGTCAGTGAACATGGGGTGAGTGTCCTGGTCAATGGGGGGCTGGACAGGTGTGGGGCCTGGTGTTGCTGCTGAAGGTCAGGTTGTGGCAGAGGCCAGGGCCCAGGGCTCCTGTCCTCCCTGGCCTGTGCTGGCTCCCCATCTTGTCTGTCAGCCTGCGCCACCTCAGCCCCACCGCACCCGCAGCCCTGCCTGGCGCTGTGGGGCCTGTGGAGCTCTGAGGGCCACCGGAACCCAGAGGAGGAGGGGAGGCCTCCTCTCAGGGAGGCAAGAGGGGCTCTTTGGCTCGAAAGGGTTAGTCCAATGGGGGAGGCGGTCCCTTTTCTGCAGGGCTCCGGACCTGGTGGGGAAGGTGCACACACACACACCTAGAGGAAACCCCGGGCTGTAGAGGGAACCCGGGTGGCCGAGCCCTGAGGCCGGGCCGGAGCTCAGAGCTGATTCTCACCCCTCCCCTGGTGTTTTTAGGGACCTGAAAGGATCTTGGTGATTCTGTAGGTAAAAGGTATCACACAGAAAGGGAGGGGCTGCCCAGCAGCTTTAAGCCTCTCCCGAGAGCTGCAGGGGTCTGGACGGCCTTCCAGGGGCAGCCCCATGTTCCCACGCCAGAGCCAGCCCTGCCTCTGCGCCCTGTTTCACCCCTCATCCTCTGGCCCAGGGGGGAGCAGTGCGGTGGCTGTCGGAGATCCAACGCCACGGATCGGCCCCACGCCTTCCAGGTCATCCTTGCCGACCGGCCCTGCCTGGAACTGAGTGCTGAAAGCGAGGCAGACATGGCCGACTGGATGCAGCACCTCTGCCAGGCTGTGTCCAAAGGGGTGAGCTCCTCCTGCCTCCACATTCACCTGGCCTCCCGACCCCTTCCAGGATCCCCAGGGGCCCCCCCGCAAACCCACACCAGTCACAGAGCGACCTGTGAGCACCCACACGGGCCCTCAGGGGACATCCCAGGAGGCAGCCTGGAGCACAGGGCCACCTAGGGCCTGGCCACCCGCACTGTCCCTGCCCCGACTCCTGAGGTTGGCACACCTGCCTGATCTCTGGGGGGAGGGCAGAAGGGCTGGCTGGGCCCCTGGTGCAGACCAGCCCCAGAGAGCTCCAGCTTGCCTCTCCCCTCCCCTCTGCCAATGCCCTTCAGGTCATCCCCCAGGGGGTAACTCCCAGCCCCTGCATCCCCTGCTGCCTAGTGATCACTGATGACCACCTCTTCACATGCCATGAGGACTGCCAGACCAGCTTCTTCCGCACCCTGGGCACCGCCAAGCTGGCCGACATCAGCGCCGTCTCCACTGAACCGGGCAAGGAGTACTGTGTCCTGGTGAGCCTGGTGGGGACGACAGAGGCAAGCCCTGAAGAAGGAGTGCTCTGTCTGCTCACCTGGGGCCCCCGCTCTCTCCAGGAGTTCTCCCAGGACAGCCAGCAGCCCCTCCCGCCCTGGGTCATCTACTTGAGCTGCACATCTGAACTGGACCGATTTCTGTCTGCACTGAACTGTGGGTGGAATACCATCTACCAGGTACCTACCTGCCCAGGGCCCTCAGAGTGGAGCCATCCCCCAAGGAAAGGAGCCCAGCAGGCACAGACTGAGATGGGAGTCGGGGGCCTAGGGACAGCTCATACCGGTAGCTCCAGAATCGATGCAAACATTTAGGACCAAAGGGACAAGACCCTGGCTCCCAGTAAGTTTGAGGCTAAAGGTGAAAGCAAACCCAGGAAAAGCCATTCTGGAACCGGACCTGCTCAGTCAATCAAATAGGAGGAATTAAGTGCTTTCGGTGGGCTAGAGCCTTGCCTGATGGTGGGGACACAGGATTGGCAGAGCCGTCTCCCCTTCAGAGCCTAGCGTTGCTGTGGACCTCCTGGGCTCTGAGGTGCTCTGCACTGGCCCTACGGGAGCCCTGGGCTAGCCTGAGGTGGGAAGCAGCTCCCAATGGGTGTTCTCAGGCCAGGGCCCACGTGGGGCAGACCCGAGTCAGGCCTTCCCCAGAGAGAGGCTCAGGGGGCATTGCCCTCTCTGCTCATTCCCCTCCTTGAAGGGCAGGAGCAATCAGCAGGGTGAGTGTGGTCCCAGGCGAGGCCGCAGCTGGTGCAGAGGGATTCATGAGCCCCGCAGCACACGGGGAGTGCAGAACCCTGAGCTGTGGCCCTCAGGTCCCCTCCCCGCCCCACCCAGGTGGACCTCCCCAACAAGGCCATCCAGGAAGCCTCCAACAAGAAGTTCGAGGACGCCCTGACCCTCATCCACAGCGCCTGGCAGCGGAGTGACAGTCTCTGCCGAGGCAGAGCCTCCCGGGACCCCTGGTGCTGAGGCAGGGCTGGCTGGTGTCCCGCTGGGGCAGGAGAGGGAGGCGCGCCCAGTGTGTTGTCGGCACTGTGTCACTGCTGCTCCGCCAGGCTCCCACCCAACCCCATTCCACAGGGCGGCAGGACCACCGAGTGGGGCTTAGGACCAGGGTGGCCCCCTCCCAGAGGTCCAAAATGGGTGCCCCACACTCTCCACCTGGCAGGAGTGGGCTGGAGAGCCCTGGGGGCAGAGGGTCTGAGCCCTGTGGGCTCTGCAAATGGGGCCCCCACCTCCCCTGAACTGTCTCTTCAGGATGGGGAGGGGAACAATACTGACTCTGAGGGGAGCAGAAGGACTAGGAGGGCAGGAGCCCTCCTTCCTCTCCTAGGTCAGGGGATGGGCAGAGGCTCAGGCTGCCCTGGGGGCCCTGAGCGGCCTGCCGTCCTTGTTCATGTTGGAACACTTGCCTGGCCGCGCAGGAGGCTGGAACGCCAGAACGCCAAGGTCCCAGTGCATGTCGCTCCTCACTAGCTCCATCTGCAGGCGCACTGCTGCCTGCTCTGCCAGGCTGCCCCGCGAGTCTGTGACCCCTGCCTCTGCCTTTCCCTGAGCCAGCAGTGTCCGCAGGACACAGGACACGGGCCGGGAGCCAAGGGGAGGGCGGAGGGGTCGGAGAGGAGCAGGACCCATCAGCCTCATGCCCATGAGGGCGCCTCCTGACTGGCCCTTGCTTGGTGGGAGCCAGGCCCTTCCCAAGAGCTTTGTCAAGGGCCCTCTGGGGGAAGGGGTCTGGTTTTGTTTTTTAAAATAAAATAGACGTTATATTGCCAAGACTTGTCACTGGCCCTTTTTGACCAGGGTAGAGTGGGGATCACCAGCCTGCCTCTCAGGCCCCTCAGCCCTTCATCCTGTCAGCTGCTCCACTCCAGCTCTGGGCACCAGATCACCCACGGCCCTGCGGTACTCACCATGTGGAGGAGCTCACACCCTGGGGGTTCCTGGCCTGACATTTGCCCTCCCTCCTGTTTTCTGCAGTGGCCAGGGAACAGGCAGCCACCAGCCCGTCCTGGGCCACGTCTCCACTGCAAGGACAGGGCACTCCTGCCTCCCTCTTTCTGGGGTGGGGGTGAGTGTCAGCCATTCAGGATAAACCAAGGAGAATCAAAGCTGCCCCCAAGACCTGAGCTGCTACCAGGCCAGGGAAGCTTTGGGGCCTTCCAGCCACTTAGCACTGTGACCACCAGGGCCTCACACGGGAGAAAAGGGGTGGACCCTGGAAGAGGTGTGTGGAGGCCTCAGGGGTAGGAGTCCAGGCAGGGTGACTCTGTCTCTGGTTTCCACTGGGACTTGGGTGATGGAGGAGTGAGTGAGCTGCCCCGGGGGCCGAGGCCAAGGTGGGCAGGGTGGGGCTGGTCCCGGCCTGCGCAGCCCAGGGCCTTGCAGCCCTGCCTGGGGGTGGGAGGCCCCTTCTCACCAGGCACAAAGGGCCATTGCCATGCCAAGGCCTTTCCTCCAGAGAGCTGTAGGCCGGGAGTGGCTCCCACCTGGGGGAGGGGCGGGACTGGCGGCTAAGTCGAGTGACCAAAGCCACAGGCCACTCCTTAAGACACAGTGGCCCTAATTTTTCCATCTCCTACCCACCCAGGGATTCTGAGGCCTTAGAGAGCATGGGTGGAGAGAAAGGAGCAGGAGAGAAAGGCAGAGGGGATGTGGGCCACCTCTTGTGGGGTGAAGCTCTGTGCTAGGTGTGCTCTAGCACACATCTCCGACCCTCCAAAGCATCTTGGAAGAAGGTGCCCATATCCCCAGTGGACAAACAGATGGAAGCTCAGAGAGGAAGTGACTTGCCTATGGTCACACTAATAGCAGATGCTGGGACTGAAAATCAGTTCCACAGGGCTCTGGAGCCCCTCTCTACCTCTGCTCTCACTGACAGTGGGCCCGCACACTGTGGGAGCCAGATTGGAAGACTGAGGCTAGGAAGGGGGATGTCGCACAGACAATGGCAGGGCTGGTTGTGAGGCAGATGCTGAGTCGCCCAGTCACACTGAGCCAGGAGCTTCCCTAAGCAGATGCCCCAGGCCCAGGGCTCTGAGCTGCAGCAGGACTTGCTAGGCCACAGGCAAGCCGGGGCACGAGCCCTTTGCCCCAGGGCCAAGGGAGGGCCGGCGGACAAAACGGGCAGGAAGAAGCGTCTCAGCTGATTGGCACCTTCTCCTCACCCCCAACCTCTCTCCCGCCCCCGGTGACCTTTCCCCCAGATCCCAGGGTCCCGGCCCGCCCCTGCCAGGAGGTGTGGGCGACAAAGGCGGCTGGGATTGGTCAGAGCTGGCGGGGGCGTGTCCCAGCCCGGACCGCCCCGGTGGCCGAGCAGAGCAGGTGGATCCCAGAGTCAGACTAGGGGTGCCTTCTGCCTGCAGGTCTGTCCAACGCGGACCCCTGCCCTCCAGACATGGCCCCAGGCCCGCTCGACCCCAGCCCTGTGGCCCTGAAGGGGTGAAGACAGGCTAAGCACCGCCACCCCGGGCTGTGCCCATGCCTCTGACCCAGGCACAGCTGGCCCCTGGAGCGGAGGCCATGGAGACAGTGGCCCCAGCTGTGGACTTAGTACTGGGCGCCTCAGCCTGTTGTCTGGCCTGTGTCTTCACCAACCCCCTGGAGGTGGTGAAGACGCGGCTGCAGCTGCAGGGGGAGCTGCAGGCCCAGGGCACATACCCACGGCACTACCGGGGCTTTGTGGCCTCCATAGCCTCTGTGGCCCGTGCAGATGGGCTGTGCGGCCTGCAGAAGGGGCTGGCCGCCGGCCTTCTCTACCAGGGCCTCATGAATGGCACCCGCTTCTACTGCTTCAGCCTGGCGTGCCAGGCTGGCCTCACCCAGCAGCCAGGTGGCACCGTGGTCGCAGGTGCTGTGGCTGGGGCCCTGGGAGCCTTCGTGGGGAGCCCTGCTTACCTGGTGAGTGCCTCACCTCCATCCTCCACCGCCCCATGATCCCCTCCCCCCTCAGGGGCTACACAGCCTCCGCCTGGCCTCTGTGGACTGGGCTGGGGAGGCCAGAGCAGGCTGGGTGGGGCTGTTCCCTGCACGTCCTGGCCCAGGCCTGGAATCTGCCCCTTGGCCCTGAGCACTGGGGCTTTGCCCTGATCCTCTCTCTCTTGGGGTCTCTGCCTCAGTGGTCCTGAGCCAGGGGAGGGGGCAGAGGGTGGCAGGAGATGTGGCAACTCAAACCCAGCATGGTCACCTGTCTTCCTGTGTGACCTGTGCAAGGTAAGAATAAAGCTTCCATCAAGTGAGGACCCCCATGTCCTGGGCTGGATGCTAGTCATCTTCTGACTTGGTTCTCAGAACAGATTCTCAAGGGTGAGTGGACAGGCCCAGGGAAGGTTAAGTGACTTGCCCGAGGTCACACAGACTTCAGGCCCAGGCCAACCTCAGAGCCTTACCCCAGTCCTATTCCACATCCCCTCTAAGCAGCAGGCAGGGGCTCATGGAGGTCTGGATGTTAGAGCACAGCGAGGGGCGCTTCCAACACTCACAGCTCAGCCTAGCTCTCCTAAGGCTCCATCCCCAGGCCCTCTGTCACTTCTGCTATCACAGGTCAAAACGCAGCTGCAGGCGCAGACAGTGTCCGCAATGGCCGTGGGGCACCAACACCATCACCAGGTGGGCACCGTCCTCCCCAGAGCTCCCTAGGCTGGGGAAATGGGGGGGCTCCCGGGCTGGCAGGGGCAGCCTGGTGACCCCATGCCCTCTCCCCACAGAGTGTCCTGGGCGCCTTGGAGACCATTTGGCGGCAGCAGGGTCTGGTGGGACTGTGGAGGGGTGTGGGCGGGGCTGTGCCCCGGGTCATGGTCGGATCGGCCGCCCAGCTGGCCACCTTCACTTCTGCCAAGGCCTGGGTGCAGGAGCGACAGGTGAGGGGCCAGGGACAACTGTGCCCACCCACATGGACACACAGGGGTGAGGAGAGCCACCTGTCTCCTTTCTCACTGTCTAGACTCTCATCACACCCCAACTCTCCAACTGGACCCCCCCACGCACAGGGAGGCCCAGGCGGGGATGACAGATGGGGCCCCTTAAGAAAGCTGAGGGCCCTGGCTCTGCAGTCAGTGTTGTGACCCCAGCCTGTGGGCCCAATAGGAGTGGGGTCACCAGTAAACCCTGAAGCTACAAAGGATCTCCGGTGGCAGAGGACAGGGGGATGTAGTGGGGTGTGGCTAGAGGGGCCTTGTCTGCTCCCCTTCTCCCAGCTCATTCAGCCCCCAGCCCCCAGATGCTGGGAGAGAAGGGTGGGCACCCCATGGGTGGGTGGAGGGCAGCTGCAGGGGTCCGCAGCCTGTACCATACCCACAGTGGCTCCCAGAGGACAACTGGCTGGTGGCCCTGGCCGGAGGCATGATCAGCAGCATAGCCGTGGTTGCAGTCATGACCCCCTTCGATGTGGTCAGCACCCGGCTGTACAATCAGCCTGTGGACAGAGCTGGCCGGGTAAGCAGGAGATGGGGGTGGGGAGGATGTGGGGAGCTGGAGAGCACCCCCAACACTCACACAGCCAGAGAAGTGCAGACATGTGACATACATGCAAACACATTAATTTGGCTGGTTTGCTGAGCTCTCTGTCCCACACATATATTGAGCATTTTCACATCAGATTTTATTCTATTGTCACAACCACCTTCATTATCCTGATGAGGAAACTGAGGCTCAGAGAGATCAGGCACCTTGCCTGAGGTCACCAGCTGGAGGGTAGAGAAGACTGGGTTGGAGTCCAGGCCCGACCCCACGGCTTCACAGGCCTGTGTGTGTTGCAGACTGTGCCCGACACAGAGGTGCCCTCCACAGGCTGGGCTCAGGGTGGAAGCCACCTGTGTGCCTCCAGCCAAGCTGGGCTCCCCGGTATGGGGTTGTGGCTAGCAGAGGAAGAGGCCCCTTTTAAAATTTGAAACCAAAAGGACGACCTTACTGAAATTTGCCCAGTTTGGGGGTGCCTTTTCAGACGTGCCACAGAAGCCCTTTACACACAGACACACCCAGCTATGCCCCCGCCGCCCCCGCCCCGTCATAACATCTGTCCCATGTCTATCCCCAGGGCCAGCTGTATGGCGGCTTCGCCGACTGCCTGGTGAAGATCTGGCGGCAGGAGGGCCCCCTAGCACTCTACAAGGGCCTGGGCCCCGCCTACCTGCGCCTGGGCCCCCACACTATCCTCAGCATGCTCTTCTGGGATGAGCTCCGGAAACTGGCCAGGCAGGGCCAGTAGCGGGACACCTAGGCAGCCTCCCTCACATCCTGACCCAGCCCGGGAACCGGCAGGAAGGCATGGCCCGCTCCATCTGGGGACAGCTGGGCTGCCTCGGAGCAGGCCAGAGGCTCAGGCCCTGCTAGGGGCCCTGGGGAGTGTGAACTGCTCTGGTAAACCCAGCCCCATGGCCTACCCAGGGCCAGAGCATCTGCTCCAAATCAACACCCACTGTTTTCCAGAAAGTTCTCTTCCCTCTCTGGACTGAGTTACCTTACTCATTGCTACAATGACTGCTCCAGGGCATGAGCTGGGTCACTTACATGCATCAGCTTGCTTAGTCCTCAGACAACAGCCCAGGACGCTAAAATCCTCTCCTGGTAAGGAAGCTAAATCTCGGAAAGGTGAAGTGTTCTGAGCAAAGCCCGAGCCAGGGCGGGAACTCGGCTCTGCCAAGTCCGGACCTGTGTCCCTGGCACAGGTGGGACCCTGGGGACTGGAGTGCCCCTGAGGGAACCCTGTCCTCTTAGGGAGGCCCTGGGGGGCATGTGAGGCCAAACTGTCGTCATCTGTGTCAGTCAGCTGCCGTGACTAAGTGCACAGACTGGGGGATTAACAGCAGAACTTTATTTTCTCACAGTCTGGAGCCTGGAGGCCCAGTTGCTGTCTGTCAGCAGAGCTCCCTTCTCCTGAGGCCCCTCTCCTTGGCTTGCAGGGGGCCCGCTTCTCCCTGTGTCCCCTCATGGCCTCCCCTCCATGTGTGTCTGTGTCCTAATCCCCTCTTCTTACAAGGACACCCAGCAAGTGTATTGGGTCAGCACCCACCCAAATGACTTCATTTTAACATCATTACCTCTTTGAAGACCCTGTCTGCAAATACAATAACATCCTGGGGGTTAGAACTTCAATACATGTCGGGGGCAGGGGTGGGGGACACAGTTCAGTCGTTAACATCCACTGAGGCCTCCTGGGTGCCCGGCTCTGTGGGCATTTATACAAATCCTCAGGACAATTCTGAAAGGAAACCCTGAGATGCCCCTTGTTCAGATGAGGAGACTGAGGCCCAGGGAGTGGAAGTGACTCTCCCAAGGTGAGCAGCAGAGCTAGGTGTCCTCATCCCGGGCCTTTTCCCCAAGCTGCAGCCACATTCCCCGTCCCACCCCTGAGCCCCATGGGTGTGTTCCTAAGGCCTGCACAGGTCTTTGTGCTATGGAGGTGGACACCGAGTCCCCGGAAGGGGCAGCACTGGCCTCGGTCAAGCAGCCTGAACTCCCTTCCCTGCTATACCCCATGTCTGCAAAGAGCTGCTCCCTAGGGGCACCCCTACTGCACACTCCAAACCAATAAAGTTTTCTATTTTGTCTACTTCAATGACTCCCCTCTCGGCGTCAGTCCCGCTGACCCCTGAACCTCGGCTCTTCTCAGCCTGGGAAAGGAAGGTCCAAAAGGATTGGTGCCAGCCGGCCCCACCCCACCCCCATGGGGACTGCCACCTAGTGGACACAGGGAGGATCGTCAAGGTGGGCTGCCCCGCGACTAAGGGAGGGGAGGGCCCAGACCTGCATCCCAAACATAGGCTTCTGGGGAACAGAGGCCCCTCTCCAGACCTCAGGCTGAGAGATCAGAGCCTCAGGCTGTGGGGAGATAGACGCCCTCCCAGACCTTGGGCTGAGGGGGAAGAGCCCAGACCTGAGGCTGGGGGACAACAGACGCAGCCTAGGGGCAGGAAGGCCCAGTGTGGCAAGCCCTAAGGCAGAGAAGAGTGGGTGCCCCACATGAGCTGGGACACAGACCAGAGGCCAGCCACGGAGATGCCCTTGCATCCCATACCGCCCAGATGTGCAGCTCCTGGGCCGCGGTTGGCCCCCAGCGCCCCTTTTCCCTGAGGCCCGCAGTTTAATGCCCCTGGTTCCCCTCCCTTCCCCTCCCCTCCTTTCCCCTCCCCTCCCCTCCATGCCTCCTCC